AGAGTATTTTTAATTAAGGCTGCTTAGCGTGAGGAACATTATTTAGTATGAAAATTTTACAAATAAATAAAATTTTTGTTTATTATTGTATTGCCAATACTTCAAAGTATTACACGACAAATTTAGGTTGACGTACATTTGATTGCATAAACTCTACAAATTAGTCGGCTAACACTGTCAAAAGAGGTTGTTTTAATGTAATCAAAAATGTTGTCATAAACTAATATTGTTTTGAAGTAAAAAACGTCATCTAAAAAGTGTAGATAAAAAGAACTCACAAACATAACTCATTCCATTCGTTCACGATAATTGTCTGTGATTCCGAACTTAATGTGCGTGTTCTAAGATGAAATAGAGTAGAGTCACTGGCGAAATATCGTTTAAAATTCGTTCGTTGCCGAAATTTCGTTTCGGAGAAAGAGAGTAGAGCTCCTGGTCTAAGCTTATTCCTTGTTTATTAATAAGGGAGGTCGTGTCCAAATGCCCTGCGAAACATAAATCTATACTAATATTATAAAGCTGAAGAGTTTGTTTGTTTGAACACGCTTATTTTATTAACTACTAGGCCGAATTGAAAATGTTTATGTTGGACAGTGAATTTATCGAGGAGAGGCTATATAAAATTACAATACGACCAATAGAAGCGGAACACTAATGAAAAATGTTGTAAAAACGGGAAAAGATATCCCATTTGAGAGCTTTCCGTTGCTTGCGCTGAGTCAACGGTGAAAGTTACGCAAAAATCATGTATGACGGAATTGTTTAAGAATTACGGGCAATACAACGTTTTACAGATTGCTGGGTTTGATTGCCAAATAAAAATCATAATGTTATTTCCGTTTTTTGCCACGCCCATTCTCTTTCCGCACAGACTCTATAAGAACTACTTCAATATACATTTAAACTTAGATAAATGGAACGAAACTTAAAACTATCTTACTGAGCCTTGAGAAAAAATTTACAGAGCTATTTTCACTTATTTTAATTATAACGATAGACAACCTCTGTGGCCGAGTGGTATGAACGCCGAATTTCAAGGTGTCGCCTACTTGAGTGGTCTCGGGTTCGAATCCCGGTGGGGGCAGATGTTTGTGTGATGAATATGACAATTGAGCATTAGTACTCCAGTCATTGATGTTTAATGTGTAATTCTTTATAAATATACTTATATATGTATGTGTATTCTATCCGTATATATGTAGGGGTATAAGGGGTGCCGCCTAACACCCAACGGCACCCAAGCCAACCTCACCTGCCCGCGGTGTACCCTGCCGACCAACGGACGAGGCTCTGGCGCTCCCCACCAACCCGCACTGGGCCAGCGTGGTGGGAGACGGCCCAAAACCCCCCCTAAAATGATAGTACATAAGAAGAGGCCCCAAGTGCCCGGCGGTGCTGGAGTCCGTGGCGGCGCTGACGGACGCCAACTCGGCGCCGGGACCAGGGGTGCGAAGAATCCCCGGGCGGCAAAAATCCCCCGTCAAACGACCTTGGCCCTGGCAACGTACAACGCACGCACACTACGGACCGAGGAGAAGCTGCTGGAACTGGAGGAAGAATTGAGCAGGATTCGCTGGAGTATTGTAGGACTATCTGAAGTCCGAAGAGAGGGCGAGGACACGATGGTCCTTAAATCCGGCAACCTGCTCTATTTCCGGGAGGGCGAAGATCTGTCCCAGGGTGGTGTCGGGTTTGTTGTCCACAAGTCTCTCGTGAACAATGTTGTACAGATCGGTAGTGTGTCGAATAGGGTGGCGTACCTTATACTCAGAATCACCAAACGGTATTCGTTGAAGGTCATACAGGTATACGCTCCGACCTCGACGCACCCCGACGAGGAAGTGGAAGTCATGTATGAGGATATTTCTCGGGCAATGCATGCTTCCAGGACCCATTACACCGTTGTCATGGGGGACTTCAACGCAAGGCTGGGCAAACGTGGCGATGATGAGTTGAAAGTGGGGCAATTTGGAGTTGGAATCCGGAACTTCCGAGGTCAAATGCTAGCCGATTACATGGAGAAGGAGGGACTCTTTATGATGAACTCCTTCTTCAGAAAACGGCTGCATCGAAAATGGACCTGGAAAAGTCCGGATGGCGTGACAAAAAATGAGATTGACTTCATCATGTCGACTAAGACTCGGATATTCAATGATGTCTCAGTGATCAATTCGTTCAATACGGGAAGCGATCACCGAATGGTAAGAGGCACATTGAATCTAAATGTCAAAGCCGAAAGGAATCGACTGATGAAGTCCACGCTCCGTCCTGAAGCCATCCAGATCCAAAACCCCGAGCGCTTTCAACTCGAACTGCAAAATCGCTTCGATTGCCTAGAGAGCTGCGTAGACGTGGACAATTATAATGACAGGTTTGTTGAAGCTGTCCTTACGGTGGGCTCGAAGTTCTGCAAGCCCCTCCGTACCAAAAAACGTAGCAAGATCTCGGAGCCGACTCTCAAGCTCATGGAGAAAAGGCGTGAGATGGGTCTGCAGTCCTCTGAAGATGCACGTCGGCAGCTCAATAGGCAGATTTCGAAGTCTCTGACTCGCGACATACGCCGCTTTAATACTGATCGTATTAAAGAGGCCATCGAGCGGAACAAAGGCTCGAAAGTGTTCGCAAGAAATCTGTCTCTTGGACAGAGTTTGCTGACGAAGCTGAAGACAGAGGACGGCAGAATCATTTCGTCGCAACCTGAGCTTATGGCTGAGATCGAAAGCTTCTACGGACAGCTATACGCGACATCACGAGTACCTGTCACAAAGGCGACCGACCCAAGAGCCAAATTAACCCGACACTACACCGAAGATATCCCGGACGTCAGCCTGTACGAGATTAGTGTAGCTCTGAAACAGTTCAAAAACAATAAGGCGCCGGGTGATGACGGAGTTACAGCCGAGCTTCTGAAAGCAGGTGGACGACCAGTCTTGAAATCTCTTCAGAAGCTATTTAACTCTGTCATACTCGAGGGCAGAACGCCTAGCGCATGGCATAGGGGAGTGGTGGCGCTTTTCTTCAAGAAGGGCGACAGGGCCCAATTGAAGAATTACAGACCCATCACGCTCCTGAGTCATGTATACAAGCTGTTTTCGAGAGTCCTCACGAATCGTCTCGCGCGCAGGTTTGACGACTTCCAGCCTCCCGAACAAGCCGGATTCCGAAAAGGGTTTAGTACCGTAGACCACATCCATACGCTGCGGCAGGTTATACAGAAGACCGAAGAGTATAACCTGCCATTATGCTTGGCGTTTGTGGACTACGAGAAAGCCTTCGATTCGATCGAGACATGGGCCGTGCTTCGGTCACTCCAAAGGTGCCAAATAGACTATCGATACATCGAAGTGTTGCAGTCGTTGTATGAAAACGCCACTATGTCAGTTCGACTCCAGGACCAAAGCACGAAGCCAATCCAGCTACAGCGTGGTGTAAGACAGGGTGACGTTATATCACCGAAACTGTTTACAGCTGCGCTGGAAGACGTTTTCAAACTTTTGGACTGGAGCGGACTTGGCATCAACATAAACGGCGAGTACATGACGCACCTTCGATTTGCAGATGATATCGTAGTCATGGCTGAGACCATGGATGACCTTGGCACAATGCTCGGCGACCTCAGTAGGGTGTCCCAACAAGTGGGTCTAAAAATGAACATGGACAAGACGAAAATCATGTCGAATTCCCATGTCGTACCCACTCCAGTGACTGTTGGGAGCTCTACACTGGAAGCTGTTGACCAGTACGTATACCTGGGACAAATAGTCCAACTGGGTAAGTCCAACTTCCAGAAAGAGGTTAATCGACGAATCCAACTCGGCTGGGCAGCGTTCGGGAAGCTACGTAGCATCTTCTCGGAACATCTACCGCAGTGCCTCAAGACGAAAGTCTTCAATTCGTGCGTGTTGCCAGTGATGACATACGGAACCGAGACGTGGCCGCTTACAATGGGTCTTGTAAGAAGGCTCAAAGTCACCCAAAGGGCAATGGAGAGGGCTATGCTCGGAGTTTCTCTGCGTGATCGAATCAGAAATGAGGAGATACGCAAGAGAACTAAAGTCACCGACATAGCCCACAGAATTGCAAACCTTAAGTGGCAATGGGCAGGGCACATTGCTCGCAGGACCGATGGCCGCTGGGGCGGAAAGGTCCTCGAGTGGCGACCGCGTACCGGGAAACGCAGTGTTGGCAGGCCCCCCACAAGGTGGACCGACGATCTGGTAAAGGTCGCGGGAAGCCGTTGGATGCGGGCAGCATGGGACCGATCGCTGTGGAAATCCACGGGGGAGGCCTATGTCCAGCAGTGGACGTCTTTCGGCTGATGATGATGATGATGATGATGTATTCTATCCGTTACCCTAGTATCCCATAACACAAGCCTACAGTGCTTACTTTGGAGCTAGACTAATTGGTGTGATTGTTGGAAATATTTATTTATAACACTGAGATAAAATACCTGATTAAATGTAATTACGCATAATGCGCTAACCACTTACGCCATCGAGAGTTCCTCAACATAGCACACACAAATCACATGAAACCGTATATATTGATGACCAGCTTGTGCCCGCGACTTCTTCCGGTCCTTCCTATCGGAACCTTACATTTATCCACGCTATAAAGTATCTAGCCTGTGTCACAAACCAGTTCTTGTAGCATGAGCAATACAATAATATACATTATATCACGTTTTTATCGCGTCTAACTGTCAAACTTCATAGTAATTTGACAATAATTGAGCGCAATGAAAACGAGCCAAGTATATATCATATTGCAGTGCTCATACTAGGGGTACAAGTAGGATAATGTGTGCCAAATTTCATGCAAATCTGTTGAGCCGTTCTAAGGTCGTAGCAGACGTTTCAACTCGATCCGTGCAATATTCTTTGTAGAAAACTCCCTACTGCAAATCACACTAATCGGAATCGCCTCGCCTCGGCCAAGCTCGTATCACGAGGCCTAATATTAATATGATCTTTTTATGAAATGTTATATTTTTCCAGGTGCACAATGCCACGTGTGATAAAGTGTCTCATCTACATCGGAGTGGCGGCGTTTCTACACCAGCTGCCGCGGTTCGTGGATCGGCAGTATGTGCCCCATCTTACCGTGTGGCGGGGACACCTGGAGCAAGTGTGCAGGGTAAACATGTTTCCATAATATACACATTATAATACAACCACGGCTCGTGGACAGGATGTATGTGCCTCATCTCACCGTGTGGTAGGGACACCTGGAGCAAGTGTGCAGGGTAAACATGCTTCAATAATATACACACTATAATACAACCGCGGCTCGTGGACCGGCAGTATGTGCCTCATCTCACCGTGTGGCGGGGACACCTGGAGCATGTGTGCAGGGTAAATATTCTTCAATAATATACACACAATAATACAACCGCGGCTCGTAGACCGGCAGTATATGCCTCATCTCACTGTGAGGCAGGGACACCTCGAGCAAGTGCGCAGGGTAAACATTCTTCAATAATATACACACTGTAATACAACCGCGGCTCGTAGACCGGCAGTATGCGCCTCATCTCACTGTGTGGCGGGGACACCTCGAGCAAGTGTGCAGGGTAAACATGCTTCCATAATATACACAATATAATACAACCGCGGCTCGTGGACCGGCAGTATGTGCCTCATCTCACCGTGTGGCGGGGACACCTGGAGCATGTGTGCAGGGTAAACATTCTTCAATAATATACACACAATAATACAACCGCGGCTCGTAGACCGGCAGTATATGCCTCATCTCACTGTAAGGCAGGGACACCTCGAGCAAGTGCGCAGGGTAAACATTCTTCAATAATATACACACTATAATACAACCGCGGCTCGTGGACAGGATGTATGTGCCTTATCTCACCGTATGGCTGGGACACCTGGAGCAAGAGCGCAGGGTAAACATGCTTCAATAATATACACACTGTAATACAACCGCGGCTCGTAGACCGGCAGTATGTGCCTCATCTCACCGTGTGGCGGGGACACCTGGAGCAAGTGTGCAGGGTAAAGATGCTTTAAGAATATAAACACTTTGGGATAATGTAGGTACACAGTAAATTATTACGAGAACAAACAAATGATTCTCCGTCACAAAACGTAAGTCACATAAAATTTCTTATTATTATCATCCGAAGCAAGCGGCAATCAACGGCCTGTTAACACAATTTATAACGATAACAAATTGGAAATAACATTTATCACAAGACAGCATAATCATAGATTAGGACATCTTTAATTTAGTAGCGTTATTGAAGCCCGGGTTTCTAGTTTGGCCATCTTTGCTTGACAAGCAATAACGTTCCATCTGCAATGCTTCTCTCCAATACCTGCGCGGCGAAGCTTTGTTCTAAATGCGCTAAAGTTATTTGGATTAAGTTCTATAGAATTAGAATTTACACTGGAGCTGTTACAAATACAAAGTTCGGCACATTCTGCCATTTACAATAGCATGCAAATATTTAACAATGCATTATGTACATTAATAACATTATTTAACATTAAGCCATCAATTTCACATAACAATAATGAATTCTTAAAAACAACAAATAGCGAATTACAATAAATTACCGTCAGCAAAATTACAACTGTCAGCTTAGTCTTAATTTATGTCAATCGAAATTATTGAAATAGCTAACAAAATAAAATAGTCAATCAATAATTTCAATTATAGAATAAAATGTCAATCAAAATATATATAAGTAGATATATCGTAATAAATTATCGAGCTGCGTGCCTATGGTGTAGTAATTTTAGTTTTTTTTTCAAAATTTCTTTTCTAGTGCACCATTTGAAACAACTAGAAATCTTAATTCTTGTTCTAGGTTAGCAATGACCCTCCTTGAGTCAAGTGTTGATAAGTGCAGTAATGATTTTCATTTTAGACATATCAGTAGTGATTGTATTATAAAAACTTTTAATTCAATTAAAATTAAAAAGACAGAGGATTATTGGGGAATATCAACATATATAATAAAACCGATTATCACTGTCATTGCGCCACAACTGGCCATTATATTTAACAAATGTATTGATGAGGGAGTGTTTCCAGATCTAATGAAATGTGCTAAAGTTATCCCTCTCTTTAAGGCTGGTGACAAATCAGATCCCAGCAATTTTAGGCCTATATCTGTATTACCAGCGCTAAGTAAAGTATTTGAGAAAATAATTTATAACCAATTACTAGCACACTTTTCTATAAATAAGCTACTTCATTTAAAACAGTTTGGTTTCACTAGAGGCAAAAGTACTACTGATGCTGGAACTGCACTTCTCAAACACATCTTTGATATATGGGAGAGTAAGCACGATGCTATTGGCATTTTTTGCGATTTATCTAAGGCGTTTGACTGCGTTAGCCATGAAACATTGTTAAATAAAATGAAGCATTATGGTGTATCAAATATTTCACTAAGTCTGATACAGTCTTATCTTTCTGCTAGGATTCAGAAAGTGGTTATAAATCAAGCTGAGTCTACAGGAGCACCCATTTCTATGGGCGTGCCCCAGGGTTCAATATTGGGCCCATTGCTTTTCCTTATTTATATTAATGACCTTCCTCACTTTACAAGAGATTTGTGTGAGACAGTACTATTTGCTGATGACACCTCTTTAGTGTTTAAAGCTAGGAGAGGAAATGATTGTTATGACGAAGTAAATTGTGCTCTCTCTGAAGTCCTTCACTGGTTTACGGTAAATAATTTAAAACTAAACTCTAGTAAAACAAAATGTGTTAAGTTTACTTTACCTAATGTGAGGCAGGTTAATACTAGTTTAAAAATAAATGACCAGCCTGTAGAGTTAGTGGATTCTACAAAGTTTCTGGGTATTACTTTAGACTCGCATTTGCAATGGGATCCTCATATTGATGCCTTATCAAGTAGACTGAGCTCTGCGGCTTTTGCTGTTAAAAAAATAAGACTTCTAACTGATGTGGAAACGGCAAGATTGGTTTACTTTGGTTACTTTCATAGCGTTATGTCATATGGCCTTTTGTTGTGGGGCTCAGCTGCTAATATAGAAAGTATTTTCGTACTGCAAAAGAGAGCTGTTCGCGCCATATATAATTTAAAGGCAAGAGAATCTCTTAGAGAAAAATTTAAAGAAATTAATATTTTAACACTGGCATCGCAATACATTTATGAAAATTTAGTATATGTAAGAAAAAACTATGACGCATTTACAAAAAAAAGTCAAACCCATAACTTTAACACGAGATATAATAACAAACTTGCCGTTCCATGTTTCAGACTCCAAAAATCAAGAGGTTCATTTCTGGGATGTAGTATTGCATTGTTTAACAAAGTTCCCCAAGATCTGATTGAGCTTCCACTAACCAAATTTAAATCTCAGATTAAGAATACTCTTATGAATAAGGGCTATTATAAAGTTAATGATTATCTAAATGATCGAAATGCATGGACATAGTGTTTCTTGTAATTTGTTATTTGATGGGTATGAGTCAGTTTTTGAAACAGTAATATGGTACCTATCTAATGCCACTTCCTATATACTAAATATAAAATTTATTGTAACTATATATCTATATCCTTAATAATGTAATGGAAGGTGACTTCAGATGTATCTCTGAAATCATTTTTCAACTTGACGACTCTGTATATATAAATACAGGGAGAAAAAAGCAGCCCTTGCTGAGTTTCTTGCCGGTTCTTCTCAGTACAAGGTCTCCCGCCGTAGTTTTGCGAACCGATGGCGTAGCTTCTTGACCTTCACAAGTGCTTGTAACAGCCTAGACTGAATAAATGACTTTTCATTTCATTTTCATTTCATTTCAGTACAAAAACATCGTCGCGCAGGTGTGGGAGAAGCATGAAAAAAACGTATCAATCTTTTTTACAGAATGAGGTTAGGAGGGCTTTCATAGATAGTTTTTACGGTAACCGATGTCGCCGGCTCACCCCCACTACTCTTCTACTTAGTAGATAATAGCCAATCAAAGGACGCGACATCAAAGAATCGAACCAATCAGCGCTCACACCCGAGAGCAACAATGCAATCAGAACCGAGTTTTAGTCAAGTTATGAGCATTTGCTCACACATAACAGTGGCGCGCCTGCCCCGCCCACAAGGCCCTTCTAACCTCTTTCTGTGTTCTGTGGTAACGACACGTGCGTGCGACGTAACAACCAAACATGTCGCTACCACGCTAAATTATGACAAATCACCGAGTCTTTCATAGAAAAACAATCAAATTGAAATTAATTTTGCAGCCTAAAGAAAGTCGTTGGGTCGGAACATGAAAACGATTACGTGATCCATTTTCGCAGAAAACAGTATTATTGTGTCTCTTATACCTACCTTCAATAAAGAAAGAATTCGTATTCTGGAAGTTTTTACTTATATTTATTTTAGAGTTATTTTTTTAATAAAACAGGCAAATCTCATATTTTACCAAGAATTTATAACGTTGAAGTCGAATTCACCATTCTTTTCGCGGAAAAGGGGACTATTGCCTTTTGTTTTCAATATCATTTATTATTGGCTAAGATTTAGGCTTGTCATTCTTGGAAAATCATTTATTTAAAAATTTGTTCAAGCCTAATATATCTGAAGTTTTAAAATAATATTTATATTATTTAAGATTAGAATTTATCTCTGTCCGCGGTGGATATTCTTCCATAGTAAAGTTCTTCTACTTCCTTGTCACCACAAGCACAGCAAAATATGAACATTAAGAAATTTGTCATAACTATCACAGCTAAATGTGAACATTGAGAAATTTGTCACAACTATCACAGGTAAATGTGAACATTGAGAAATTTGTCATAACTATAACAGTAAAATGTGAAAATTGAGGAGTTTGTCACAAATATCACAGTAAAATTTTGTTACTATTGTGCAATAAAGTGTTATTATCTTATCTTATCTTAAAATGTGATAATTGCGAAATTTGTCACAACTTTAACAGCCAAATGTGAAAATTGACATATTCCTCACAACTAACAGAAAAATATGGTATGTCTAGAAAATTTCTCAGATGTTTTCTTAGTACTTCAACTATCGCGTAAAGTTATTGAAACGCTTTTATAAATTCCCTATAAATCGGTTTAAATTTTTCATGCTTGGCCAACCTGCAAGTAATATGATTATGACAGATTAAGTACAGACCTATCT